AGGATCGTCAAACCAATATATCTGTCTATCTAGGACATGATGTATAATGAATATTTAAAATTTGAACATAATCAGTGAAAGCAAATCAGAGATATGGCACGAGAACCACATTCATTAATACAAAATGGCCACCAGTCGGCCATTTTGAATCTTATCTGAAAAACAAAATTACTTGCATCAAGGTCCCATAATGTCTAATGTATATACCAAGTTTGAACAAAATCCATCTGTAAACAGCCGAGAAATGGTTGATTTTTAGGATTTTTTTCGCACAAAAATGGCCGCCAATCGGCCATCTTGAATCAGATCGTAAAACAAAATGATGTGCATCAAGGTCCTATAATGTCTAATGTATATACTAAGTTTGAACAAAATTCATCAGTAAACAGCCGAGAAATGCTTGATTTTGATGATTATTAGTACAAAAATGGCCGCCATTCGGCCATCTTGAATCAGATCATGAAACAAATTGACGTGCATATGTATAATATCATGTATGATGTATGTGTGAAGTTTGATTGCGATTGGTCCAGGCATTTCCAAGATACAGGTCCGGACGCACGGACACACACACACACACACGGACGTCAAAACATAAGTCCCCGTTTTCGGACTGCGAACGGGGACTAAAAACACATCATGACAGGAATGCAACAATGGACAGGTTACGCATTCACACAGTAACAAGCAAAACCTCCATATTGAGTATGATCGACAAAATATTCCAATATGTGCTGTGATGTAAATCTGGGTCATTTGTGTGACCTTTTAATTTGTTAATGCTTGAGTTGTCATAAGAACAAGCAAATAAAATAATTTAATATTATCTGACAAAAAATGACGACCATACACAGCTGCCCATTGTTTTCTTGTTGATCATGACAGCTATACAAGGTAACGCTGTCTATTTTTAATTCCCCATATTTGGTATGCTTTCATTCACAGTTAACTTACTGTATGCTGTGGTGGTGTGAAATCACATGCAGGCATATCAGGCAATCCACCATCAGCTACAGCTAAAATAAGAACATAAATATATATGCTGGTCAGATAAATAAATATTAGCATATTTGCTATAATAAAAACAGACACAGTATGTTGTACATTTATGCATAGACCCTCTAAAAGATGTATGGTTGATGATGTCAAACATATGTCCATTATTGTGAATTATTTAAACATTTATTGCAATTAATTAGACTAAATAAATACAAAACAAATGATAGCTGGATTTAATGACAGCTACAATGAAAATGTCTCAATGCTGTAACTTCTGAAATATGATGAATACAACACTTTCTTAAATGCATCTTTTCTGACGATCCACTTGACCAATCACCTACTAACTTAGGAAATGTTTATACGTGGTACTAGCAGATCAGAAAGGTGGGATTTATGGCGGTCTCAAGAAAGATTTTACTGGGGTATGCCATTTTGGGGACAAAATTAATTTTACTGCAAAGTCCTGTGACATACATGTAATACATTTTTTTCACAGGTGAGTGAGATTATAAGTGTATACAGAAATATAATTTGTTGAATATGAACAGCTTGTATAACATCTAAAAAAGTTCCCTTTTTAGACTGAGTTGATGCATCCAGGTAACCAAATGTAAATATGAAACATTACACCTGATACCAGTTTGAAATACGATATTCTGAATATTCTCACTTTATACCTTTATACCAAAATATGCATTTTCGCTTTAAAATTGAATTTAGAATTTCAAAATTCTCCCAAACTTACATGCCTGGTAGTCTGTAACACTTTCATTCATGGTCTCCCTTATTTAAAATTTTGCAAATGTCATTTTACTAATTAATATTCATGGATAAAATTCAAGCCACTCTCTTCCATTGGCTGATACAAAAAACATTAAAAACAAAGAATGCAACATTGATAGGAATGGAAAATTTTGAATGTTGAGTTGTTAGGGATTGAACCCTGACAAAAAGGAAGCACAGAAACATACTAGAAGAAAATAAGATGTATGAACTAATGAAAACATCATGCCACAAGAACGTAACTTAGATGGCCATTCATGTTCTACATTGTGCGATGTTATCATGGAAAAGATTCATATCACATGTGCCCATACAGACAAGCAGCCTGTCGGCTGAGATAGCTCCGCTGTTAGCAATGCATATTTCAATTAAAGAACTGAAGATATCATTAGAAAATGAACAATATGTATAGTATCAAAGCAATCAGACTTGCTGTTATTAACAAGAAGTCGAAAATATCCATTTTCACCAAACATTACAAAAATATTCACCAAAATTAGAGAATTGAAGAAATTATCACGAAATAAACAAATCTGAGAGAGGTCTGTCCATGGTACATATAAACCAAGTATCAAAGCAATAACAATTGTAGTTTTCAAGAAGAGGTCCAAAAAGTAAAAAGTTGAAATGGACGATGACGGGCAACCACTCATATGATAAGCTCCACTCGACTAAGTCGACAGCGGAGCTAGAAACACATAAAATGGGATCCTCATATCACATGTGACCATACAGAAAACACATGGAATGGGATCTCATATCACATGTGACCATGTAGAAAACACATGGAATGGGATTCTCATCACATGTGACCATACAGAAAACACATGGAATGGGATCTCATATCACATGTGACCATGTAGAAAACACATGGAATGGGATCTCATATCACATGTGACCATGGAGAAAAAACATGGAATGGGATCTTCATACCACATGTGACCATACAGAAAAAAAATGGAATGGGATTCTTATAGCACATGTGACCATAGAGAAAACACATGGAATAGGATCTTGTCACATGTGACCATGGAGAAAAAACATAGAAGAGAATCCGTATATCACATGCGACCATACAGAAAACAGTAGTTAACACATGAAATGGGATCCTCATACCACATGTGACCATACAGAAAACACATGGAATGGGATCTCATATCACATGTGACCATGGAGAAAAAACATGGAATGGGATCTTCATACCACATGTGACCATACAGAAAAAAAATGGAATGGGATCCTTATAGCACATGTGACCATAGAGAAAACACATGGAATGGGATCTTGTCACATGTGACCATAGAGAAAACACATGGAATGGGATCCTTATATCACATGTGACCATACAGAAAACACATGGAATGGGATTCTCATCACATGTGACCATACAGAAAACACATGGAATGGGATCTCATATCACATGTGACCATGGAGAAAAAACATAGAAGAGAATCCGTATATCACATGCGACCATACAGAAAACGCATGAAATGGGATCCTCATCACATGTGACCATACAGAAAATACGTGGAATGGGATCTTCATATCACATATGACCATACAGAAAACACATGAAATGGGATCTTCATATCACATGTACGTGACCATACAGAAAACACATGGAATGGGATTCTCATATCACATATGACCATACAGAAAACACATGGAATGGGATCTTCATACCACATGTGACCATACAGAAAACACATGGAATGGGATTCTCATCACATGTGACCATACAGGAAACACATGGAATGGGATCTCATACCACATGTGACCATGGAGAAAAAACATGGAATGGGATCTTCATACCACATGTGACCATACAGAAAAAAAATGGAATGGGATCCTTATAGCACATGTGACCATAGAGAAAACACATGGAATGGGATCTTGTCACATGTGACCATACAGAAAACACATGGAATGGGATCTTTATATCACATGTGACCATACAGAAAACACATGGAATGGGATTCTCATCACATGTGACCATACAGAAAATACATGGAATGGGATCTCATATCACATGTGACCATGGAGAAAAAACATGGAATGGGATCCTCATACCACATGTGACCATACAGAAAACACATGGGATGGGATCTTCATACCACATGTGACCATACAGAAAACACATGGAATTGGATCTTCATACCACATGTGACCATACAGAAAACACATGGAATGGGATCTTCATATCACATATGACCATACAGAAAACACATGGAATGGGATCTTCATATCACATGTACGTGACCATACAGAAAACACATGGAATGGGATCTTCATATCACATATGACCATACAGAAAACACATGGAATGGGATCTTCATATCACATGTACGTGACCATACAGAAAACACATGGAATGGGATCCTCATACCACATGTGACCATACAGAAAACACATGGAATGGATCTTCATACCACATGTGACCATACAGAAAACACATGGAAGAGGATCCGTATATCACATGCGACCATACAGAAAACACATGGAATGGGATCCTCATAGCACATGCGACCATACAGAAAACACATGGAATGGGATTCTCATCACATGTGACCATACAGAAAACACATGGAATGGGATCCTCATACCACATGTGACCATACAGAAAACACATGGAATGGATCTTCATACCACATGTGACCATACAGAAAACACATGGAAGAGGACCCGTATATCACATGCGATCATACAGAAAACACATGGAATGGGATCCTCATAGCACATGCGACCATACAGAAAACACATGGAATGGGATCCTCGTATCACATGTGACCATACAGAAAACACATGGAATGGGATCCTCATATCACATGTGACCATACAGAAAACACATGGAATTGGATCTTCATACCACATGTGACCATACAGAAAACACATGGAAGAGAATCCGTATATCACATGTGACCATACAGAAAACACATGGAATGGGATCCTCATACCACATGTGACCATACAGAAAACACATGGAATGGATCTTCATACCACATGTGACCATACAGAAAACACATGGAAGAGGATCCGTATATCACATGCGACCATACAGAAAACACATGGAATGGGATCCTCATAGCACATGCGACCATACAGAAAACACATGGAATGGGATCTCATATCACATGTGACCATGGAGAAAAAACATGGAATGGGATCCTCATACCACATGTGACCATACAGAAAACACATGGAATTGGATCTCAATATCAGGCAATGTAACTGATGCGGTACATTGGTTGAGTGACATTATCATGACCATGTAATTAACCTATATTTTGTATATTAACCCATGGATGTGAAATTTGGGGGATAGAAAAATGCACAGACAAATCAATCACAGAAAAATTAAATTTAAACTTCTCAAAAATGTTACTTCAGGTGAATAAATCAACAACAAATATAGTTGAGTCTTTATAAATAAAATTATTACAAAGCACTGGTATAGAGTTTGTACCAAAAAAAAAAAAAAAAAAAAAAGAGCACAGTGTACCCGGTAGTTCCAATGCAGTAATATGCAAAATAGACACACAGTCATTGTGAGCAAAGTCAGGAAAATAGAATCATAAACTACTTGAGAGTAACAAGTTTGGTTACATGAATTGAGAAATAAGATAAAAGTGAATTACGCAACAGTTGATGTGGACATAACTGTGTCATGGCAACAAAATAATTTGTTGGCATAAATTATTATATTTATTATTTTTTTTCCATTCTATTGAACATGATTCAAATGCACAT